CAGCAACCCAAGGCTGGGATGAATCCCTTTCCACAGGTATATTTGGGGGGAGGAAGGAGGGAACAAATCCTCCTCGACATATCACATACAGAGTTGTTGGGTACAGCCCTGACTTGCGGACTCAGCTTTGCTTTGCTTCTGTTTTAGCTGTTTCTCTGCTACCTTTTCAGCAGATTTCTTATTACACTGCACTGGATTGCTATATTTTTAACCAGAAATAAACTAAGGATTAGAGCATGTGCCAGTTAAATTCAGTTCTTTTCCTTACATGGTCTTATTCCCTCCTGTCGCAGTTTCTCTTCTTTTTCTTCCTTTCCTTTTTCAGGCAGAAGGGCTATGGGTGGACAGGGTAAATGAGAACTGAAGGTAGCGAGACCCCCTGTAACTTTTATTTCAGTTTCCACAGTAACTGCCCATCATACCTTTTTTGGTTTGGTTTTAGGTCTTTAGTAATCTTTTTTACTCTTGAATGGTTCCTGCATACTTGAACCAACTAACACTACGTTGCGGTTGCAGCCCTAGGAACTCATCCATGTGTTTTGTAACTCTTTGTAAAGACTGTCAAGGACTTTCTTTTGTACATTCAGGTGCATGACACGAATTTCCCACCAAGAGCAGGTTAAACAATTACATATAAACACAGTACTATATTTAGATATATATAAAACTGCAAAAAAATGCCTCTTGTTATCAATCAAATAAAAGTACTAGTGATTTCATGACTAGCTTTTTCATGCTGGTGACTGACTGATTACTGCTCTTGCCTGTGTACCAGCAGTTATGTACAAACACAAATGCAAATTGGGTATTTCCTTGCTTTGTTTCATAAAATAAAGCTCCATGGAGCTGAGGTTTGTCCAATACGAAAGATAGCCAAAGACTAATATTAATTGGGCCCCAAACCGTATGCTTAAAAATAAAGATTTATTAACCATGGGGAGCTGAGCAATTTGTCTTAGTTCTGGGCTTTTCACATTTGCCCAGGGCCAGAAATATTCTTGAGAAGTAGCCCAGAGAGAGAGGTAATTCAGTCTACTTCCCTGTCTTATGAGCCCTAGATTCATGCATATCTACCTAAGGCACATTAAAATGTCTATCATCACAGCATATAAATCTATGTAAATTGTCCATACCTGCTGTTTTATGTCCACGCTGACAGATGCATGTGAGCAGTTGAAGGTTTACATCATTTTTTTGGCTGCAGTGGTATTTTTATGTTCCTACAGTGGAACACGCAGCACCTGAAATGCAAGGAGGGGCTGAAGGAATCAGCCCACCTCCTACCATGGCAGTAAAGCCACTGGGAAGAGGGTGCCTGGCCCTCCCCAGGGGACCCCTGGCTGGACCCTACCTGTGTGAGCGCTGCACTGGTTTGATGCAGCATCTTCAGGAAGGGCAAGCAGGAAAGAATACAAAAATCCTCCGCCTGCTCGTGCCACGTCAGCTTCTCACCAGCCCATCTGGTGTCTGGGTTGCTTGTACCCAAGACCTAGATTTTCTGAGCACGCTGGGACTCTCCAGGGCCTGATCTTTCAGAGATCCTGAGTTGTTGCAGCATCTATTTACCTTGTGTGGAGTTACAAAGCACTGCTGGGGAAAATAATAATCTAGACTGCAATAGAAGGGGAGGGGCAAAAGGAGAAATAATGTCTTATGATGATGAAGGTCTTAATTGAAACCCAAGGACTATTTGTCCTGACAGACCTTGGCAAGACAAGGGAGGATGGAAAAGCAGCAATTTTTTGTACCTGTCACAGGGTGAGGGTGGCTCCAGAGATTTGTGCTAAAGCAGAACAGAGCAGAGGCCAGACTGGATCCTGCCTGTGCTGCACAGCTTCCATGCACATGGGTAAATTGTTCGCACAGAAGATGGGCCATGCAGGCTCTTGACCTGGTGGCAAGTTTTCCTGGGGTAGGGAAACCAGTCAACTCCTTGTACAGCCCCTAAATGAACTGCATGAGTCCTGTTGTTGCCTATCCCCAACCTTCATAGCATGGCTCCCTGACTGGCTCTGCAGCCCAAGGCTTGAACCACTGCTAGAACCAAACCTGAGCATAGCAAGCACTAGATACCATGCCTCTGAGTAGCAGATCCACCAGAACTATGCTTCCCTCAGGGGCATTTCAAGGTCTTCCGTTCCTTTTATAGGTCTGTTTTAACTAGTATTAACCCATAGGCACTCAGCTACAGAACTACCACCAACCTGTTTTTGCAGAGTATGTGTAATAACTTCATTATCATGCCAAGTGAAGGAGTTTCAACCCCAGTGGCTACCTATCAGTGCCCAAAGGTCTGAATACAAAACTCACATACATCATGAGCTGTGTCCCTTCACTCAAGGCACCTCAGAGGTCATGCTCCATAACATTAAAGGAAACCTCACTTTGTAGGTGTTGAGATGCTGAGTGTTGTCCAACAACTTTTGTTGGATGGATGGCTTAGAACTGCGATGGTGGGTTACACATTCCCATCTGGAGATGACAATGGAAGATAAACTTTAGAGAGACTCGTGTTCACACATAAGTGTTACTCGCTCATCCACACTGCTACTTAGTAGACTCACAATCCTTATCATTTACCTGTTTCCTTTTTACCCCAATTTGGAAATAACCACACTGAACCTAGCAAGGCTCAGGCTTTGTTACAGACTTGCTTTAATGTGGTAAGAACACCAACATCCAGTCTCTTACCTCCTCTACAAGAGCAGCCATCCCCTCCACAGCAGCAGCTGCATTTTAGTATTGGGTGTCTGGTCTTGTTGCAAGGGAGAGCTGAAGAATTACTCCTACAAGCAGTAGAACTGCTCCCCAACCCCTTCAGCATGGAGGATGTTTCAAAGTCCTTTTCTTGTTCATCTGTAGCTGTGGGTTAGTTGTGAAGGATGCTGCAGTTGTTTCCCAGCAGAACCTGAATCGTATGGTATGCTTCTATTCCAGTCCCCCATTTGTAAGAACATGTGTGTCTTTAGCCTTTCTGTCTTGCTGACAGGCACAAGGTGCTCAGGGCGGTTTGGTACTGCTTGGACCCACCCATGGTATTGCTAGAGCAAGAAACCCTCATTTTGTCAGAGCTGACAAGTAAGCCTCAATGTTCAGGCTGGGACAGTGTGCCATGGCAGCATCCTCTCATCATACAACCTAAGGATGGCCACCAGAGCCTCCTGAACCAAGCCCTGTGACCAACCACAGCTTATCCTGGCTCATCCAAAACCCCAGCTCTAGGAGAAATTTAACCAAGCTGCATGCCCAGGTCAGCCCAATCTCAAGGTAGAGCAATGACAGCCATGAGAAGCCAACAACTCCAAAGCTTCCTCTCCCTCAGCAATAGTGTGCTCCCCATGGGGAGCTGCTGTGACGCATCCCATCCTCACCCAGGTTCCTTGGAAGCATGTTTCTTCCAGTCTATGCCTTCTCCAGTCATACTTAGCTTGGCACAGAACACAGCTAGGACTATATTCCAGAGCCCTTGAGGAAAAGATGAAAGGAAAAACCCCAGATTACTGTTGCACACACTCCAGCTCATCTGATACATCTAGTTCCCTCATCCAAACAGTCTCTTCCAGAGAAGGGGAAGAGAGAATCTTTCCCTGCAGCTGTACAAAACTGCTGTAACCCGGCTTCAGCTCAGGGGAAAAAAAATACATAAACATAATCAATTCAAGGTGTACATCTGTATTTGAAAAAGCAAAAAATGACCAAGTGCATCTAAGCGTGGTTTCCACTGTCTGGAATGAGCCATTGCAATTGAGTCCTTTGCAGAGATGCTGTGATTTTAAACCCACTATTTTTCAGACAAAAATATAATAATCATCATCATAATCTTGAAAATGCAACTCAGATTCCCCAATTTTTGCACAGAAAGCCATGGACATCACACACAAAGGATCAGAATTCAGCAAGATCAAGGTAACATAAACTAACCCAAGCGACAGGACAAGAGAGCACCTGAAGACCTTAGCCAAGCAAACACTACTGATTCTTTCCTAAGTTATCAATAAATGGTATGTTTTCACCTCTTGCCTATTATTCTGCATGGAAGGTACCTCCCTATCAGACATGTTTTTATCTTGACACTTGGCAGCCTGCTGTATTTAATCTTTGTTACCTTCCAATTAGCCCTGCGCCTAGCACTGCTCTCTTGAGAGCTGGCTCCCCAGTGATGCCTCTGCCAAAACAATACCCATTGGATTTCCCTGCACAAGGACAGCCTTCTGGTGTCAACTCAAGCCATCACTTGCTTGCTGCAACAGACACACTTGGATCCCATCTGTTGTCCCTATGGACCACAGTGCTGCTCTGCTGGAAATGATGCCTTGAGGAGAAGAGCTGAGTCAGGAAGCAGGGGTGAAAAAAAGAATCCTCTAAGAGTGTCAGCTCACTCCCTCCCATCCTCAACATGCCATCAGCTCCCAAGGTAGGACTGATCATAAAGAGTTCATTTATAAGACAACTGCTTTCTTGTCAAACAAGTGCGAAACTGAATTGGAAGATTCCACAGGCAAAGGCAAAACCTGCTACAGCTAATTAAAAACAAAGAGACTTCAACTGTTATGTTCGTCAGGGATTACCTTACCTGTATGAGAGCCACTGTATGAAAGGATTCCCAGGATTCTTCAGGCAGTGCAGCCACATCTCAGGGCTGCTAGTGCATCTTACAACCACTACCTGTGTATTTCACACTGGGGACAGTGATTCCTCTTCCACAGCAGGAGAAAAAGAAGTAGAAAAGTTAGGAAAGGATTGAGAAAAACAAGATGATGTAACCAAATAAGTTTATTGTAGAAACCCCTGGAGTCACATTCTGGCTCCATCAGGGTAAGGAATTTGGGACCAGTGAACCATTGTGATGTGCAGTTCATCTTGACAGACTCAAAATAATTTTGAACAAAAAAATGACAGTATTGTATAGGCCAGCCCCAGCAGAACAAGTGCTCAAACAGCAATCCTGTTCCTCAAGATCCTCCCACAACTTCCAGGACAGTAATAGCAAATCCAGAGTATAAACCATGAAGGTGCATTGAGACTGGGCAGCCCAAAGGCACCTAGAGTAGGCAAAAGCTAGAGTGCAAGGATGCCTTCTGACATGCTGACTGCCTGGTACATCACTATGAGTTCTGTGGGGCTAACCACTGCTCCCTGCACGTTTTTCACTCATAGAACAGTCTCAAGAACATCTAGACTGAATCTTCATAGAAAGTCTTTGCCATGGCATATGCCACTTTTACCACCTTCTTCTCCTTGGCATCTGGGCCCATGTTGCTGCGGGCTAGTTTAATCCAGTACTGCTCTGTCCTGGACAGGTAGTCTGCATGGCTCTCATCAAGCTGAACAGATGGGTGTTGCTCCTCTTCTAGTACACAATGGAAACAAGACAAAAAGAGAGGTGAAAGCCAGTGAATGAAGGCACTGCTCTTCCACGTGTCAGTTCAGCCAAGACTACACTTCAGCTGATGTGTTTAAATGTAATAGCCTAAAATTCTATCAGTAACCAGTAGAATTTCTCTTCTAACCCAAGACCAGTGCATTATGAAAACTGCTTTTACTGGAAAACTCACCTGGATGTCAATGAAGCCCTCCAGGCTGGCAGCAGAACCAGGAGGTATTGTACTTTACATTAGTATGAAGGAAACATTAATCTTAATCATTACCTCCCTCACCTTCACTCTCCTCTTCAGAGCTCTCCTCTTCCTCTTCTCCTCCCTCTGCACCTTCCTTATCATCCTCCTCTTCATCTGACTCAGACTCCTCCAGCCATTCTTGTGCTTCTTTGATGAGAAAGAAAATAGAAGAAATAAATAACAAACTGTTTCCCACTCCCACACCCAGAACTATCACGGAAGGTGCCTGGGCAAGGTCAGAAAGATGTGCTTCTTAAGAGCCCTGCTGTATTCACTGCCCTCATAGATCCATCCACTGTACAGTGTCTGTATCTGATAGGGAGCAATGGGAAGAGATGAAACAGTCATGAAGAAGTAAACAGCACAGAACAGCTGTGGAAGAAAAGCTGCTTAGTGCCAATGCTGACAACAGTCAGCTCTCCTCTCCAGCACTTCACAGTCCAATGATCATGAGCAAGACTCCTTCCTTTATGCCTTTTGCCCATTACCACACACAGTCTGCAAGCTTCCAGGGCAAGGTCACCTTCTTTTGTGATCACAAAGCTCTGGACCACACTGGTTTCCATAGTGATGGTGACCATAAGACACTGCATATCACATAATTTCAAACTTCTTCCTGTCCAGGAAAAACACTACTCAAAGGCTCATCACCACCCCTTGAGGAAGCTCCACAGTTGTTTTGCTGGTTAGTTTTTCTCTTTCCTAGTGTAGTGTTGTTATACTAAAATCAGAGAGAGAGAGATCCCACCATCAGAACTTACTTGGATCCATCTCCACTAGCACCTTCCATTCTTCCATCTTGTGTAGGTCGATGCTGTAGAGGTCACTGAGGGTAAACTGGCGGTCACCCACCTCAAACATTCCCCCATACACATAGAGAACCCCATGCTTAACTGCCAACATGGCATTTGAACGTGGGCATGGCTCCACTTGCTGGCCCAAGGCTCCATCTTCCTCCTCCTCCTCTGATTCAGACCTTCCCTTTTCTTCTGCAGGTCCAGAGATCACCTGCTTGATTGTCATGACAGTCCCATCTTCTGCCACCACCTCTTTGACTATCTCCACTGGGGCTTCTGAAAGTTGCTTCTCCACCTCCTCATCTCCAGCATCCTCTGCCTCAGCTTGTCTGCCACGTCTTCGCTTCCTCTTCTCTGATTTTGGTCCCTGTTAACAGGAACAAGGAACAGAAAGAGACTGTGTGTGAATTGTATGCACCTAATAGCATGTATAGCAGTTAATATAAATACTATGGGTGCTGCTCAGAGGGAGGAGGGGGAGAATTCAATCACTTTTCACTACAGCTATAAGCCTCAAGTGATAGGTACAGCCTCCCACTCAACATAAACTTCTACCAGCCATAAAACAAGGAACAATGAAACTCCTGGAGAACCCACAGCATGAAGTTGCTCCCTCTATTAATGGCAGCATGTGCTGAAGAGGCAGAAAACAGCTCTTTTGCTCTCTGTCTTGCAGGTACACGCAAACATGCACACAGTCCACTAGTCTGTGATGGGAGCAAGAGAAAGTAACCCACATTTTGTGAAATCACAACAATTGCTGGGTGCTAAATTACAGTGCATTATCAGGAAGCACTCCAGGTCTTCAAAGAGCTGTATGAAAGAGCTGGAAAACAGCAAAGAAGACAGAAGCAAACATCTGAGTGCATGTTTGCCTGTTATTATGTGATTGACTTCTCCTGTTTGAGAACAATGCCAGAAACAGTGGTGAAAAAGGAACTTCTTTACTTGCACCTCATTTGCCCTTGAGAATGGTCCAAACAAAATCAAAGATCAGAGGGCCACATTTCTGAAGTTTTTATGAGCCAAGGTTAATATTTCATCTCTTCAGTAACTCATCAACACTGGGGGAAAGAGGGAGGTTTTTTGATCCTAATGCAACACAAGATCTTTTCACAGTAGCTTTTACTGAACTATTTGATGTCAGACTTATACATCTGACCTAGAGCCAGCCTCCAGTAAAACACCTTAACTATGTTTTCATGCTGCTTTGTTCCATTTTGCATTGCACAACAACGGGGCACATGCAGCCTGACTCCTGAGGAGGAAGATTGCTCCTGGACCGCTCTCGCTTTGTACTCAACCATCAGGGCTCACAGGCTTCCTCTCTCCACAGAAGGGTGTCAGTCTGCATCCCACTGTGGTAGCAGGGCATGGAGCGCACAAGGAGCTATGTGGCAGGAAAGGAGAGGGGCAGCATGAAGTTAGAGAATTCAGTCCATTTGGTACCAAAAATCTGTTAGAGTTGCACATCACCAGCTTCATTTCCACAGCCTCTCCCCCTCTTCAGAATCAGTGGGTCACAGCAATGCAGCAGCCACACCTAGTGGTTCAGCTTCTGGAGCACCCCCAGTTATTAGAAATAGAGGTTTGCTCCACATGGCATGAAAGTTTTTTCAGGCCAAAAAAGGCTTAAAGGACATGTATCATGATCAAGGAGATCACAGAGAATGAACTGAATATATATGTGTTAATTTTTAAAATCAAACCTTCAGCTGTCCAGGAAACCAGCGGTTTTTCCCAAGGTCATAGAAATAAATATCATTGAAGAAGTCCCCTTCAATGCTCTCTTCCTCTTCTTCATCATGCACACCTCCGAACAGAAGGGAGCGGTTATTGGGACCAATTGCCACTGAGAAGCCAGATCTGGGAGTGGGTTTCACGCCAGAAGGGTTGAGCCTACTCCATGCCCACTTGTCTGATAATGGAAAAAAGCAAATATAAGTATTGGCAAAGGAGAATTCCGATCGTTTTTCATACCTTCAAGGCCCTTCAGTACTCCAGCAAGTAAGTCAATGACCCATTTTGGATTTCTCAGAACTGCACAGTACAATGTTAATCAGAAGCACTTGCATTTCCACTTCACTCACACAGTTAATTGCACATCCATTATTCCCTTAGAAAACCATTGTGTCTTCAGTAAAAGCAACTGCAGAGGGCTGTCTTCGGGGTGTACTTTCTGGGGCAAGGAGCCTCTTGAAAGATGTATACACCTTTATAAGAGGGTGGAGTTCAAGCAAGGACTGATTATATTTATATATATAGCCTTCAAGTACCAAGGAAATGTGCCTCGTTTAACACAGGAATCCCACTCCGCTTCCATTCTTTCTACAGCACCCTTTCTACTACAGTACTTTACCTGCCAATTTGCATCACTGCCCTAACTCCCAGAATAAGTATAGTTCTCTGTAAGGAGACCCAACCACACTTTAAAAAAAGGTCTCAGAAGCAGGAGAAGGCTTGTGCTCTAAACCCTTTGCTTTTGCTCCAATCCTTTCTACTCTGGATTTAGAGCAAATCCCTAAAATGTAGGCTGGGAGAAGCACATGCACTGGCTAGGCACTGTGTTTCAGAAGGAACCACAATTTCAACAAGATAAACTATAAATAGCACATAATGCAAGCAGCGTCTGGAATCCAGACAATTTATGTGACCCAAGCCTCCTTCCCAAATCCTGCTTTAAGACAGTCAGGTTTAAAGAAATCAATCACAATTTAAATATTTTAGAAATTCAGCTCAAATAAGATTGTCCCATTCCCTGAACCAAGGACAAAATACTCTCTTCTCCTAAGGAAAGTGATGAAATTCCTGTTTCAGGGGACATTCACAGATAAAACCATCAACTAACCAAAACCCACTCTTGATAATATCTCTGCTCTAGGTAATCTGATGAGATCACAACCTAACCTTCTCTCTTTAAGAGTCTCTTAAGTAAGACATCACTACTGCAAAGAGTTTGTTAACCGGACTTTCCAGTGTGGAGATGTACTGGGTTTGCATGGCAAGGTTTCAGTAGCGGGGAGGCTACAGGGATGGCTTCTGGGAGAAGTTGCTAGAAGCTGACAGAGCCGATGCAGCCAGCTCCAAGACAGACCTGCCACGGGCCAAGGCTGAGCCCATCACTGGCAGTGGCAGCACCTCTGGGATAATACAGTTAGTAGGAGGAAAAAATAACAAACCAAACTGTGCAACTGCAGCCAGAGAGAGGAGAGAGACTGTGTGAGAGAAACAGCTCTGCAGACACCAAGGTCAGTGAGGAAGGAAGGAGGAGGTGCTCCAGTCACCAGAGCAGAGATTCCCCTGCAGCCTGTGATGCAGACTATGGTAGTCCCATGGAGGTCCATGTTGGAGCAGGTATCCACCTGCACTCTATGCAGGACACCACACTGGAGCAGATCTGCTGGCAGGACTTGTGACCCCCTGAGGGACCCAAGCTGGAGAAGCCTGTTCCTGAAGGACTGCACCCTGAGGGAAGAACCTACGCTGGAGCAGTTCATAAAGAACTGCAGCCTGTGGGAGTGACTCACATTGGAGCAGGGGAAGAGTGTGAGGAATCCTCCGCCTGCAGAGGAAGAGGCAGCACAGAGGTGTGATGAACTGCACACC